GACTTGAACGTTGTCCCAGTTGGTGTTGTGATCAGGACAGTTGCTGATATGGTCCGAGATGACTTGAACGTTGTCCCAGTTGGTGTTGTGATCAGGACAGATGCTGATATGGTCCGCGATGGACGAGATCCAGATTTCTTTTGAAATAAAAATATGTTTAAACCACTTCAGATTGATAGGTGTTTTTTCGATTGCAATTACAATGTACCTACAAGCGAATGTCACCGTCTTGCTCACTTTAATGCTGAAAAAAGAAACCTTAAAAAATGAAATCACCCTGTTTTCTGTGCGTGGAATGTTAAAGAGTAAGAGGCCAGATACCCCGTTATAATGACATCGTGCGGATAAGCAATTGTCCGAAGTACCGACTCAGTGAGTCTTTACTCCATGACAGAGAGTAGATACTTAGTCACAGTGAGTCGTTACTCTGTGACAGTGAGTCGCTAGTCTGTCACAGAGTATTTCCTCTCTGTCATTGAGTAACGACTCACTGTCACAGAATAACGACTCACTGTCACAGAATAACAACTCACTGTCACAGAGTAACGACTCACTGTGACTAAGTATCTACTCTCTGTAATGGGGTAACGACTCACTGTTATGTAGTAATGTACTATGTAAATATGTGTACGTCTGTCCCAAAAACCTTCCGGAATAGCACGGATGGATGTTAAGAGTTATATAAATATGTGGAATAATCTGTGATGTCTTAGTGACACTGGACTGGTATAGCACTTTGAAGAAAGTGCTGGAAGCTAGTTAGACTTTATAAGTAGAATCGGCGCGTGCCTGACTCATCTCACATTTCATCTAACATTGCATCAAGACCAGCTTTCGCGTGAAGATCACGTCTCACCCCGGATTCCTAGCCGAGGCCTATCTCGGAAATTTGACCACTGTTGCTGCGAGGTGATTATTATTGTCATTATTATCATTGTCATGTCCACTGCTCTCCAAGTTTATACTGTCATTGAATATTGTACTACCACTCTATTGTGTACTGTCATTGTAATTGATGACCATTGTCAAGCAATTACCCAATAGAGAAACGACAAACAGAAACTCAGTCTAAAGCGACGGTCACATTATTATCAAGGTGTGTCCTTTGTTCACCACATGATCGTAACATGACCTCTCTCTAGCTAAGTGCACCAGAAATGGACACTGGCGTCCAAGAACGGTCAAGCGTCTATTTCCACCTTGCTCGTATAACGTAGCTCGTAATTACGTTGTTGTGAAGTATCTGACGTGTCTAGACTTGATCAGCCGACTTTTGTTACAATAACGGGTCAGACTTAGGATTTGCTGACCTGGGCCTTTCTCACTTCAGAATTTAGAGATATGTAGATCACCGTTGTGCATGCGTGGGTGACCCGCCTGCGTCCATCCGCGGTCTTTGTAGACGTCTTCAGTGAAATAAACGGCGTTGTAGCCGAGACGGTGTCCGTTTGTTGTCACGCGGTATGGGTTTTGGGTTTTAGAATCTGGAAATCTGAGGTTGAGATTGGCTCGGATGACAAATTACATGTGCGTACAAACGCCACGTCTCATTACCAAGTTTAAATCACGTGTTTATATATAACTCATTTGCATTTAAACAAAAGACCCCCTGTCCAGATGTCGCATAGAAAAATCGTTCAAAGTTAAAGCTTTGGATCAATAAACTTCGTCATGTCTGAATGTTTCAAATTGAAGACCAGACGTTTATGTAGTCAGGGCTACAATCTACTGGCTAAGTATATAACCTTTTATTCCTCCATAAAGAAGAGTACACAAAAAGCAGAAAATAATAGATGAACATTTATCAGAACAACATATTATTTTGCATTAAATATGCAGAATGGTAATGCTGATATATTGAGAGTTAGTTGAACACCATTTAAACATTGGCTTGACATATTTAAACACACTCTTGCAAAGTCTTCAGCATCTTTGTCACATAGTCTGTAATCTGTTCTGCAAGACAACAGGCATTCAGTGAGCTTTGCTGAGTCCATACCATGCAGGTAGCAGCTAACGTCGACATCACCGATATTGATCACCTCAATCCAGAGCTGATCCCGAATGTCACACATACATTCGCACTTAACAACTGCATGTGTCACTGGATCACGATACACAAGACCACATTTGTGGCACAGTCCTGTATCACACATGTCCTTTGCGGTGGCACACGTCCTTATCACAAAGTTAGAGTTCAGTCTCAGAGTTGGGTCGTCTAAGGAGATCTGCCAGGCTGGATGGACATCATATAGTCGATGGATTCGACTAAACATCTAGACTTCTGGATCAGCAGCAAGTCTCTGCCTCCAGGCAGAGACATGGTGAGAACATAGAGCTTTACTCACTGATCGTTTCCATCTCTGTTTCCCTATGAAGATACCATTCCGCAGGAACGACAGCAGAGGATCCATGAGATTGTATTTGGATAACAATCTGATGACGTCTGGAACAAATCCTGATGATGAGGTTGTCAGTTGGTGAATGTAACACATCAGTCTGGTCATGAACAGCTGATGAGGCAGGAACTTCGGGTTCATGTTGATGATGCGCTCCAGGAAATACAACTTTCTTTGATCTATATGGTATTCAATGGGTAGAACACCAAGAAGACTCAAGCGGACATCAGTACGGGTCAGTCGCGGCAGGTCTTGGATAGATTTTATGACATATCTGAACGACCTCTCCAGCATCAGCAATTCTACCTTTGATAGATTTGACCACAGTTCTGATCCATACAGAGTCTTTGGGAGGTACATATTATTTCCCACAATCAAGCTGGTTATAGGATTCAGGAACCAAGGATGAAAACCTCGTGAAATCAGCGTTCTTACCCCTGACCTCAGGTTGACTGAAGCTTGAGTAACATGTTCAAGGGATGACATGTTGCCAGAGAGTACCAAACCAACATGTCTGATGGTGTTCGTCCATGGAATGGGTTCACTGTACAGCTTCAGTTCAGATCTGTGTTGAGTTTCACTTTTGGAAGATGACAATATGTATTGCCAGTCACAGCTGTAGTGTACAAAGTGTCAAGGTGAACAACGGGAGCAATCCTCAGCAATCCATGTTTGTCGTAAGAGGCGACTACCGGGATCGGTCAGGGACCGCCCATTTGATATTGTGTGTGTGCGCGCGTGTGCGTGCGTGCGTGTGTGTGTGTGTGTGTGTTGAAGGGGGGGGGGGGGGGGTCGCATTGTTGGAAGAAGTTTTAGATAGAGATATTTTGGTCCTATTGGTTCCAGGACAAACCTACCAGAGTAACTAGTTTCGTTATGTGTTTTGGTATATATATAAGGCCACTGTTTTATTTGGCAGATACTAATTAAAGCGGATGAGTGGCTGTTCACCCAGCAATGAATGGGTACCCGGTAGGATGTGATGGTAATGTGAATGTTAACTTTCCAGCGCCTCGAAGGCAGCTTGTGTAGTATGGTACCCAGGGAGCTGAGAATGAAACATCAAATACACACTCCTCTATTGGCCAGGGTATAATAACAATGCAGATCTGTGCAGTTGGAGATTCTAGTCCGGCTGACAGGTGAAGTTTGAGATAGTTGAGTTCCAGTACCAAAGTAAAATAAACACATTTATTGTCAGTTCAGTCTCGTGATAATATTATATCTATATTGTATTCATAACTTAACATAATATTGGGTAGAGCAACCTGTTCATGTCAGTGTCAAGCTCATTTCAATACGGGAAGAACTTGTGATCTAGAACCGGCCAGTCAACATTATAATATGGCAATAAGGATTTGGAGGCGTCAAGCTTGTTACCCATAGATAGGTATAAATAATCCTTCAATATTTATGTTTGTTTGTTTGTTGTTTAACGCTGCACTCAGCAAAATTCCGCCAATATGACGGCGGTCTGTAAATAATCGAGTCTGGACCAGACAATCCAGTGATTAATATCATGAGCATCGAATCACGCAATGGGTAAGTCCTATTTGATGCACTGACACGACATTGAGCCTGTTGTAGTGTCGTGTGCAGTCTAAAGACTGGAGAGTGAGTGTCTGAATGTTATTTTACGCAGCAATCAGCAAGAGTTTGGCCACAGCTGCCCGGGGTTTACAGCATGAACAGCGGCCCCCGCCCCGGCGGTTACAATGAAACCAGGTCAACGACAACTGCCACTACCCGATCCTATATTGTCGGCACTGCGGAAAGCGTGGGGTACTGGGAACCTATTTTAACCCGTAATCCCCGCGGGGGTCAGACGGCATGAAAGATGGACATCCCACGTGGCTCCATTTTAGCGCGTGAAAAGTCGTATATAGGTGCAGAAATCGTTAGACACGCGACATCGCTGTGAGGAGCTGAAAGATGAAAGTGCAGGAAACTGCGGGGTTATCAGGTCTGGGTTGCGTCTGTACACACACACAGAACAGTCCTCCACAGCTAAAGATACATAGGACATGAACTATTTACTTTCTGGTTTAGTTCTTAAAGCCGTATTCATCATTATTCCAGCTGTGGTGTTGGTTTGTAAATGATCGAGTCTGGACCAGACAAACCAGTGGTTGACATCATGAGCATGATTGCGTATACTCTCTCAAGGTTACTGAGAAATATTGTATACAGTAAACTACGTTTATAACGAACACTCTTATAACGAACTAACTGATATAACGAACTTATTTCTAGTAGAGGCCATTTGTTGAATATATGCTGTATATATGCATGTACGAACTACGGTTATTACGAACTAAAAATAGTGATCCCTTTGAGTTCGTTATAACCGTAGTTTACTGTATTTCTTATTTTGATAGGCATATATCTATAGTTAAAGACCCACATATTGAATTTTAAGGAGCATCAACGGGTGATTGGTGACTGTTTTAAATTAATGTCATAATCATAAGAAATCTCTGCCAAAAGCAGAGTCGATTGTATAATTCCGTCTAAATCAAGAGCAGGTGTTTATGAATCACTGCCAAATAGGGATGATACCAGGTGTTCGCGAAAAGGGGAGCGTGCCCTGCCCACCTCAACTCAGAACGACCTCGGTTTCTGTAACAAAATTGTCACACAGGATACAGGGATTGGATGATCAGGGACCTGAGTTCCGACACCCGCCCTCATCATGATCCTCAGCTTGTTAGCACCCTGCTTGTTGCTCCCACCACCCGCCCTCATCACGATCCTCGGCGTGTTAGCACCCTGCTTGTTGCTTCCACCATCCGCCCTCATCACGATCCTCAGCTTGTTAGCATCCTCCTTGTTGCTTCCACCACCCGCCCTCATCACGATCCTCAGCTTGTTAGCACCCTGCTTGTTGCTTCCACCATCCGCCCTCATCACGATCCTCAGCTTGTTAGCACCCTGCTTGTTGCTTCCACCATCCGCCCTCATCACGATCCTCGGTGTGTTAGCACCCTGCTTGTTGCTTCCACCATCCGCCCTCATCACGATCCTCAGCTTGTTAGCATCCTCCTTGTTGCTTCCACCACCCGCCCTCATCACGATCCTCAGCTTGTTAGCACCCTGCTTGTTGCTTCCACCATCCGCCCTCATCACGATCCTCAGCTTGTTAGCACCCTGCTCGTTGCTTCTACCACCCGCCCTCATCACGATCCTCAGCTTGTTAGCACCCTGCTCGTTGCTTCTACCATCCGCCCTCATCACGATCCTCAGCTTGTTAGCATCCTCCTTGTTGCTTCCACCACCCGCCCTCATCACGATCCTCAGCTTGTTAGCACCCTGCTTGTTGCTTCCACCATCCGCCCTCATCACGATCCTCAGCTTGTTAGCACCCTGCTTGTTGCTTCCACCACCCGCCCTCATCACGATCCTCGGCGTGTTAGCACCCTGCTTGTTGCTTCCACCATCCGCCCTCATCACGATCCTCAGCTTGTTAGCACCCTGCTTGTTGCTTCCACCACCCGCCCTCATCACGATCCTCAGCTTGTTAGCACCCTGCTTGTTGCTTCCACCACCCGCCCTCATCACGATCCTCAGCTTGTTAGCACCCTGCTTGTTGCTTCCACCACCCGCCCTCATCACGATCCTCAGCTTGTTAGCACCCTGCTTGTTGCTTCTACCACAGTGTTGAACGTGTTAGACCTGCGTCGGTTTAGGCTTTCATTCACGCATAAGAGAAAGAGTTTAACGATGTTAACATCTTTATTATGAGGAACACAACGTTTCGGAGTATATGCTTACTCTTTTATACGGTGATATATTCCGTTCTCTCTCATGTGCATCATTTCTACCTGCCATTTAAAGAGAGCCTTACGCGTAGCTGCAACGACTACGATATAACGGAAATAAAAGGATTTAATTAATTACAATGGTTCGTTCGTAAACGGAATTCAATATGTCACTTCGTTTGAGATACAATATATTTGTTTTGATATTAGATACATTTGTGTCAAGCCTCATCTTAACAACTGTTATGCACATTTATACAAAACCAGCTAGCGTTCTTTGCACACGTTCAGGTATGAAACAAAATTGTCCAATCGATAATCCTGCTGACTGAAACAAGCATCTTCTATCACTCTACCAGTCCTTACTTCGTGCTTCCTTAATTGGAAAACAAATTTTCTTGTAACAAACCAGACAAACTTATTAAATTTGTGCACTTCAAACTGATTAAACTTGGGCTGTAAAATTACCTTAATCTTAAATAGGAAACGCTGGTCGTCAGGGGGACTAGTAATTCTATGTAAAACAGGCTCCGCCACGCACATTCTTCATTGATAACATGGCCTAGCATCATTCGATAGGGACACACCGCCACGAATAAAACGCTGTTGTTATTCTTAGAGAACGAGTGAGTGAGTATATTTTTACGCTGCTTTTAGCAATATGCCAGGAATAGCACGGCAGCGGGCACCAGTTTTAGAGAAAGAGAGAAATACCGAATGTTTTATTGAGATTTTAAATTGTTTAATGCCACATTTAGGCTGAGTCTAAAGCATCAGCAAGCAGCATGGTGACCGACAGGCAAATCAACCATCTTGAGGACCTGTGCTGACCCACAGGGTGTGTTGAACACAAGTTGTTTGTTTGTTTGTTTGTTGATTAGCCTCACTCAGCAATATTACAGCTATATGATGGCGGTCTGTAAATAATGGAGTCTGGACCAGACAATCCAGTGATTAACATCATGAGCATCGATCCGCGCAATTGGGATACAATGACATGCATCAACCAAGTCAGCGAGGCTGACCACCCGATCCGGTAAGTCGCCTTTTACCACAAGCCTAGTCGTCTCTTACGGCAAGCATGGGTTGCTGAAGACCTAGTCTAACCTGGATCTTCACGGGTCACAAGCATGGGTTGCTGAAGACCTAGTCTAACCTGGATCTTCACGGGTCTGTCAATATGAACTGGTAGGGAGCCTGAAACACTCGGTTGTGACCCTCAAGGCACAGACTGACGACTCTTAGAATAATGGGCCACCAAAGTAGCAGGTATGAATCATGGGCCGGCCATGGGGCATACTCTGTGACCTGCGCATGTAAGTTAGAATGTTGCATGGGTAAATGTCACAGCGCTTGCCTTTTACACTTGGTCTTACTGTGGAGATCACGGGCCTACAAGGTGGGTGGGTGAGTGAGTGAGTGAGTGGTGAGTGAATGTGAGTGAGTGAGTGAGCGAGCGGCGAGTGAGTGATTCAGTGAGTGGTGAGTGAGTGAGTGAGTGAGTGAGTGAGTGAGTGAGCGAGCGAGCGATGTTTCATGCCTTGTAATGTAAATGTTGTGTATGGTAGATTAGGGTTTCACACATTTGTTCCCAAGTTCCATCACACCAGGACCTTCAGCATGAAAAACCAAGGCTTTAACCCCTAGGCTCCCCATTGTCATGCTACACATTGTAACCACACCTTATAATAGTGTGATGCCACAACAAGCCAAGTGCTCGAGACCGGCCTTGTATTGCACAAGGTTGTAACAGTGGTATCCTCATTTTGGATGGACCAAAAGGGACACCTTGAAACATCAAACTATTTAGACGGTTTGGTTTGTTACACTTAGCAATATTCCAGCTATATGACGGCTGTCTGAAAATAATCGAGTTGGGACCAGACAATCCAGTGATTGACATCATCCAGCATCGATCCACGCAATACGATGACATGCATCAACCAAGTCAGCGAGTCTGACCACCCAATCCCATTAGTCACCTCTTACGGCAAGCCGAATTGCCTTAAGGCCTATTCGATCCACGCAATTGGGATATGAGGGTAAATATGAATGTGAATATGTGTGTTTAATCAGCACACAAAATACAAAGGCAGCTGTAAGAATGTAACAATGTTTATTGAAAGCCATGGTCAGCAGGAGAGAGATACAACAATCACATATTGTCAGCAGAGTAACAGGTAGAGGTAAAGTCATCAGTATCACTGCAAGAAAACAGACTGCCACGAGACCCTGGCTTGAGAGTATACGCTCGCACAGCTCCAAACATGCGAGGTGCCAGATATACAATGAAACCTTGTTAATCCAATATATACCACTCAAAAGAAGTAGAAGAACACCCGATTATTTCACATGACTATAGGCAATCTGTCATGGTATGACAGATTAACTCAGAGCTACAGATAAGTTGCATATTTGACTAAAATACCCCCACGCATGCATTAAATGAAATAAAAACTGCACGTGTAAATATCCAATGAAGCTTTTTCAGCATGCATACAGCAGAGCTAATTTCCGAAACACAATTACAAGCTAGCTTACTTCCCAGTCAAGCCTATATTTAGCACCATGATATACATCTAAAAAATTGTTCCATTTTTTAAAAATCTCATAATGAATAGATGAGTGAAAAAATATTGGTTACCCTATGAAAACTAACCCAATTAAAACAGAAATCTACAAGTAAAAACTCAATTGCTCAAAAAGTTATCTGAAGCTCTTATAGCTACAGTAATATGAATGAATCAGGTGTGTTTTTAAAAGCTGATTTATGGAGCATGGGGCATCTTGTAACATCTTTTGCACCAGGTAATCGAACCAGTGACACTGGGGGCAGATACTCTATCCATTAGACCAGGGAGATGGTTTGAAATTGAGAGAACGGTCAAGCGGAATTTCAGTCAGGCGGGTCCTGGATTAACAAGGTTTATCAAAACTATCAACAGCACCTTCCTTGTGAATGGGCCTTCCATGCATTCAATCAAGTGTTATTGTTAATCTGTGGTAGAGACTATGTTTCTTATCAAGGCACAGCCTTGGCTAACAACATATTACAATGTAAACATTTGTAATATGGCAAAAAATCATAATAATGATAACCAGACATGCAAATTGTGTTATTAAACACATTGTGTCAACAGTTGCGAGCCATCTTTATGAAACAAGTATTATGAAGTCATATCACATGTAATACGATGGATATCGAAATCAGGAAGTATTATCATATGGAAGTGCATTATCGTCATGTGAAAAAAAACCACTTCACATTTCTCGATATGCCAATCCTGTACTAGTCTTTGGTACGGGAAATAGTCCTACAGACATTGCTAAAACTGCTGTAAAATTTTATTATATATAGGAAAATAACATTTCATATTATAAATATCAACTAATTTTGATTTTTTAATATCTATGAACAACTTGCGTCAAATATTCTGATACAAACTTTCTAATGTGTGTCAACTGGAGAGTTTAATTGTGTCAAATTACCTATTAATATTTTGACTGACTTCAGAATATCAACATCTCCAAATAGGCATGCATTCATAACATTATCAAAGCTCTTGTTTAATAATGTATTTGTATTTGAATAAGTTGTGCTAATCTTAAAAATATTCAGTATAAATAAATATCATTCAAAAGTGAAAACAATTCTCCAGAGGTTTTGGATGTTCGACATGTGATTTGGTTGTTCAAAATCTATGAATCCTCAGCACGGCATGAGAACAATCTGAGTCTGAATCAATCTGAACACCATTGTCATCCTTTTCCCCTTTTGGTTACAGCTGAGTGAGTGAGTGAGTTGGGTTTAACGCCGCTTTTAACAGTATTCCAGTTATATCACGGCGTGTCAGCTTAATGTGGGAGGAAAGCCTGAAGTGATGCAGGTCTCAGACGTTTACCACTTCGGTGAAACCCATGAGCACGGTTAGGTCGCTGACAAACCTAGAAACATAATCTAGGCAAACCGGGATTCGAAGCCACAATCATAGGTTTCTTGTGTGCCCAAGGGACACAACTCTGCACAGCGAATTGCGGCGCCTCAGACGAGTGGGCCACGGTGCCCCTGGTTAGAGTTGACTTACTGTAACAGACAGGTCATTCGTATCAACTACCCTACACATCATAGGTACTTCCATAAGCCACATCATCAGAAACTTAGGCAATAATTATTGCCAGGACTGCTTATCTGTATTCATGAAACTTGTCATCAATTTAAGTGTAGAAACAGACTCAAGTGTATATTTGCCATATTGACATAACAATAGTATGTTGTAGGACGTTGTATGTCGTAGAGCTGTGTAAATCGACCAACTGTCCTAACTGTACATGTGTTCAGAATAAAAGAGAGTGGTCATCTTCCCGAGGCAAGGGAGTTAACTGACTTTAAAAGTCCTGTTTCCACCCTTGCCGAACTAGGCTGGTATTATGGAGTTACAATTTGGCTGGACTAACGAGTCTATGCATAGCCCAATCACAATCACGCAACGAAATCGAAATCCAGTTCGTAAACTGTCATGCAGATTTCGGTCGATTGCAGGATTTGTAAAGCATGTGCAGCGCCAACTCGTTGTCAACAGATATTTTCTAAATCTTTTCATGTTTTTAATCAAGGGGCTCATGTGATTTGATGCATTTCGCAATGTAAGACTCATTTTATCACAATATAGATCTTGAGTATCAATCAGATTGTCTTGACATTTTGTTTGAAGCAAATGCAAGTGATACGAGAGGTGGAATCTGATTGGTCCATAGGAAAGGCATGGAAGGGACATAACTTGTAATAGCCACAGGTGGCGCTGTGATCGAGGCCAGGAATTCCAGCCTAGTTCGGCAAGGGTGGAAACCAGACTTTTAAAGTCAGTATACTCCCTTGCCTCAGGAAGATGGAGAGCGGTAGGCTCAAGCCGTTTGTATAGGTTCCATCACATATACAGATTTATACTAAAAGCTGAAATGTGAAAAATGAGAAAACAGCATTATTGTAAAATGTCGTTGATAAAAATCACATAAATTGTACATGATAATACAATAATTCAAGAAATATGTTTAAAATGCAGTTCCATACTACAAAATGTAACAAGTTAAGATCACATGACATGTTGACTGGAAGATAACAGTGCTATGTACAATGCAGGGGAGGTAGTATACTACTCAATGTTTGATAGTGATGTATTTAGTATCAAGTACCTCAGTATCCCTGTCAAAACTTGAGTACCACGCATACCCTATTAAATCTGTCTGAGGAATCAATATGTGTATTGGAGAAGTCCTCAAATCCATACCAAAACAGTTATTCTATTCCAATTGACAGTTGTTAGTATGTGAACATGGATATCCTATGACATGGAAGCTATGTGAATTAGTAGCAAAGACAATTTTCGGAAAGGCAGTCAAAATTTATTTTATTTTGTAATGGCTGGGAGGGGACAAGACTACTGGGTACTCTAAATTTAGCAGAAACAGATTGAAAATAAATATATTTATTTTTACATTTTCAAGAATTCTTCAGAAGAAATAAAATTCAAATATACCAAGATAACACTCTGGATGATTTGTTGTATCTGATGCGTCTTGGCATATTGCCAAATAATTCTGAAATGAAATAGACACCAACCTGGCCTCATGAGAGACGTCAGACAATTTCTTTTGCATAAGACACAAATGTACATTAACATGTACTAAAATGAATCTTTTTCTAGCTTTACTATTTTAAATATTCTTCTTTCGAACAATACAAAAATATATCCAGTTTGACAACACTTATTCATTATAGACAATTTCCTAGTTACAAACCACTATTGATTTTTGTGGTTAATTTGAACAAAACGAGAATCAATTCAGAGTTCTGTTGGTGTCTGTATTTCTGAATTTGGGCGGCTCACATTCACTGTGCGGCAGATTCTAGTAGCGTGCCCGTCATAGCATCTGTTCTGATGCCCTGACTCTAGTAGTATGCCCTTCATAGCATCTGTTCTGATGCCCTGACTCTAGTAGCGTGCCCGTCATAGCATCAGTTCTGATGCCCTGACTCTAGTAGCGTGCCCGTCATAGCATCTGTTCTGATGCCCTGACTCTAGTAGCGTGCCCGTCATAGCATCTGTTCTGATGCCCTGACTCTAGTAGTATGCCCTTCATAGCATCTGTTCTGATGCCCTGACTCTAGTAGTGTGCCCGTCATAGCATCTGTTCTGATGCCCTGACTCTAGTAGCGTGCCCTTCATAGCATCTGTTCTGATGCCCTGACTCTAGTAGCGTGCCCTTCATAGCATCTGTTCTGATGCCCTGACTCTAGTAGCGTGCCCTTCATAGCATCTGTTCTGATGCCCTGACTCTAGTAGCGTGCCCTTCATAGCATCTGTTCTGATGCCCTGACTCTAGTAGCGTGCCCTTCATAGCATCTGTTCTGATGCCCTGACTCTAGTAGCGTGCCCTTCATAGCATCTGTTCTGATGCCCTGACTCTAGTAGCGTGCCCTTCATAGCATCTGTTCTGATGCCCTGACTCTAGTAGCGTGCCCGTCATAGCATCTGATCTGATGCCCTGACTCTAGTAGCGTGCCCTTCATAGCATCTGTTCTGATGCCCTGACTCTAGTAGCGTGCCCTTCATAGCATCTGTTCTGATGCCCTGACTCTAGTAGCGTGCCCTTCATAGCATCTGTTCTGATGCCCTGACTCTAGTAGCGTGCCCTTCACAGCATCTGTTCTGATGCCCTGACAACGCCTGAGCAGTGACATCCAGTGTATTATGATTGTAAGGTGAATGAGCTGATAAGTATGTACAAGAACTTTTTTACAGTGATAGACAAGGATGCACGGTGGCAGTATATACAGTGAAGGTGGAAGTGTATCTCTCCGGTGTGTCATGAAACAGCTTCAGACATCACTCAGTCTCGATCATTCAATACACAAGGGAACAGCAAAGGATTTCGGATTGAAAATCTGTCCCATTTTTGTTTAAAATGCATTATACTGCTCACCCAATGGCAAATATCAATTTTGGACACATTCCTGTTGTTAAAAATTAATAAATAACCAACAACAAAAATTGTCACCAGTTATGTACCTTAAGGAGGTAGAACAAATTCTCAAACAAAGCTTTCCACATGACAAGTAACACGATGGTTGGGGCTACATAACACAATACTTCTTAGTGTCTTCGTGGCCAGTTTCTTTACCCTGTTGATCCGAACCATTCAACCACTTACAGTTCTAATATCCAGCACATCAATCCCACTTCTCTCACAACTAGTAACCGTTAAGCATTTTGACATAAGGCCACTATAAAACTATAGCTTGTTTACCATTCAAACTGAGGTGGGAGATATCTCTTTGATTATCATCATTTAAAAACATGAATGTTTGTTTGTTCAATGCCCCAGTCAGCTCTATTCCAGCTATGTCATGGGAACTTGTGAAGAATCCAGTCAGGATCAGATACAACCACTGATTGATATCATGAGCCACATTCTGTGACATTGGGGTAGGATGACATGCAATCAAACAGTTAGTGAGCAAGTTTGATCTTACGCCGCTTTTACCAATATTCCAGCAATATCACAGGGGGGGGAGTGTCACCATACCTTGTACCCATGTCGGGAATCGAACCCAGCTTTGGCATGACGAGCGAACACTCTACCCACTAGGCTACCCGACCACCCCCACAATCAAACAAGTCCCCAATATGACAATCAGATTGGACCAGAACTTGGTTACTGGGGACCAACCCCACCATGGGGATGTGTATGGCTAATCATGAAGATCATATTACAGCAAGAAGGCCCTGTCCATACAGCTATCTTAGCGCTATGATGAACGTAACTCCCATCCCAAAAGACTCATGATGGCTAAGATTGCTCTGTTGAATGGGCCCCTTGCAAACCAGAAACTCTCTCAGCAATGGTAAAATAGTACAATGATAGCTTGACACAGGAGAGGGGGTGAGTAAAGATTTTGTCACGTCAGCAATATTGCAAGAACATAGTGATGATGCCGAAAACAGGTTTCATAAAACAGCAGAGAGTGACAGCAGCCGGGTGTGTGAGAGAGAGAGAGTGACAGCAGCCGGGTGTGTGAGAGAGAGAGTGAGTGAGTGAGTGAAATGTGTAGATTTGTTCAATCAGCAGTAAGTCAGTCCAATCCTGATTTCCCTCAGGGCAGGACACTAATTCTTGTTGGTGTCCATGGTGGTATAATTAAACTAATTAAATCCAAAAACTATTGATACGAATAATAAATCCAAGTTTGTCACCAGACAAAAACAAACATTATAACCAGCCTGAAAAAGAGTTCACAAAGCATGTCTCAAATAAACCACACCATGGTGAGAAACAGTAATCTGTTGATGGCCTTGTAATAACAAAATGGAGCGATTGCTATACCCCACACTCCCCATGCACTACTACCTCACACCTGAACCTATCAGAACATAACATGCAAAACTAGATAAACTCCACAAGACATACACTCTCTTTCACACACAATGAGAAGCAATAGCACTGCATCCTCCTGGCCTCGGTCAGGGGTACGTGTTGCTTCCCAGGCTCCTCGTCAGGCTCTCCAGGTGTACCTCCAGATTGGTCCTGCTGAACAATGGTGGTCGCGCCAGCTGATTGGCATGTTGTGCATGTCCCACCTGAGCACACCTGTCGTCATTACTTGCCTGATTACTGCCATACCTGTCAACAAAAACAGGCACTTTCATCATAGTCATCAATTTGGTGCTGTTGATTACCTTGTGAAAGGGCATGATTCATCATTCTATATTAATGAATTATGGGCAGGTGGCCTGCTACTGAATTAATTGTCTGTCTGTCTGTCTGTCTGTCCTTCCATCTGAAGAGCTAGGAATAAGAAAATACCTGAGACAATGACTTTTTTGACACCTTATTGTTTGTTTGTTGTTTTACGCCGCACTCAGCAATATTCTAGCTATATGACGGCGGTCTGTAAATAATGGAGTCTGGACCAGACAATCCAGTGATTGATATCATCCAGCATCGATCCACGCAATACGATGACATGCATAGACCAAGTCAGCGAGTCTGACCACCCAATCCCATTAGTCACCTCTTACGGCAAGCTGAATTGGCTTAAGGCCATTCTATTCTAACGTGGATCTTCACGGGTTATATGCCATCTGATGTCACATGCTCCATTTCCTCCGTTCAGGGAGGTGGTGAAAGGGGGTTTTACGTCGCGGCCAAGATCCTCTGTTCAGTGAGGTGGTGAAAGGGGGTTTAACGTCGCGGCCAAGATCCTCTGTTCAGTAGATTGCTAGGGTGGGTGAGGGAGGGGACAAGTATTTCAGTTACATCCCGGTGTGTTGACTTGATGTGGGGGGAATGTCCCCAGTGACGTAGGTCACCACTTTGGGGGGACCCACAAGCAGTGCTGACAAACCAAGAATTATAAGCAGGGGAAATCTGGGATTCTTACCCACAATCATAGGATTCTTGTGTGCCTACGGGATGCAACTTAAGAGACGAGGGAAGGTCATCTTGGAGTTAGTCCTGATTTTAGCCAAGCATTCATTTTAAATACCATACAAAATAGTGAAGTATTAACTAGCAGTGGTAGTTATATGTATACATATTTTCATTCTACTACATCCACTGCATCTTTCTCTTTGACCCCAGACTCATGCAAAAGTGCCTTTGAGCAGACCCAATCTGGAAATTGGCGCTATATAAATTTATTATTATTATTATTATTTTTATTTTTATTGTCTAAATCTATCAACGGGCTACTGAAGGATAGATGTCACATAGTCATTGATGATAATAATCAACTATTACACCCATGAGTTGGTCTTGATGCTGATACGGGGGAGCCTGTGGTGCTCAATTGGCTGTACAGACTTGCCTCCCTTTGACATGCCAGGAACCTAGGATTGTGGATTCACATCCTAGCTTTGCCCTGATAATGTTTTTAGGTCTGTCAGCACGATGTCTGTGAGTGTGGGTTTCACCAAAGTGCTATGCATTTTCACTTGATGTTCGTGCTATTATTTGCTGAGCTTACATGACAAAACAGAATTTTATTAGATTAGGGCTTTGGACAAGTGGCTAAAGTCTCAGGCTGCAGCAATAAACATTGTTTACTCTATTTACATTACACAGGGTTAACCAACGGCAGAATATCAGGTTCTTTCTCGTAAAAATTGCATGCAATCTCACTAACATATAAGAACGATTCAATAGATTCAATTTTTTTCACAAGATCAAACCTGCTGATCTCAACCCCAAAGTTTGGTCCAATTTTTTCTATCCACAACCGTATTATCCATTTGATTCTCTCAGACTGCCTCCCACGTGGAACTCCAATCTAGCCCTACAGAGTGCAGTGCTTGTGGCTAGCACAGACATGTTTGCTTGCTTGAATGAAAGATTCCAAAATGACGCCAGGCACTTGCCAAATGTGATAGTCTTGAAGGTAATGTCTAGGTTTCACCCACTTTGTGTAACAGCTCTTCACATTAGTCCAAAGACAGACTCACTGCTCCCCTGTTCTAAGAATAGCAAAGTGAATCTTTGCAATGTACCAATGGATGCTGGCCTCATGAAAGACGGGTCATCTTTAACATCGTAACCACCCTCCCACGCAGACAGGGACTAGCATCCTCTGCAGCAGGCAATAAAAACACTTGGCTCCATCCACATTTGCTATCTAGTTATGGAGACGAACACAAATACTGATACCAACTTAGGCCACTGGTATGAAGATTGATTTTATAATTGCACTTGTTTAAAAGCCTGTTACCATTTTGAGAGCTGCATATAGACAAAATGCATTAAAGTTAGACTAAAATGTCCAATTCACAGGGTTTTAGTGTGTGTTGGGGAATGTAACATTGTGGAACTTTATTCAATTAAGTGTGAGATATAGCATTTTTTAAATAACTTCAGCTTTCATGCTCTAAACAATTCACAGGAAATTGACCAAGATGAAAATAGGATTTCTTAGACAAAGCATTAGAATTTAGAATGTACCATGGTGATTGGATCTTCACGAACAATCAGCAAATCACTGGAATTTCCAAATAAACAGGTCTTTCCACATTACCCTTGGAAGACACACAGGAAGGCCTAATTGGACTGCCATACTTGTAGTGTAACCACTCCTTCTAATCACTAGTACTGTTTACATGCCAGCGAGGCTGAACAAGATACAAGCAGGACCACATTAATATAACATGCTACATTAACATCCGTCACGATGAACATGGTCCAACACAAGATACAAACAGGACTACATTAATATAACATGCTACATTAACATCCGTCACGATGAAGATGGTCCAACACAACATACAAACAGGACCAAATTAATATAACATGCTACATTAACATCCGTCACGATGAAGATGGTCCAACACAACATACAAACAGGACTACATTAATATAACATGCTACATTAACATCCGTCACGATGAACATGGTCCAACACAAGATACAAACAGGACTACATTAATATAACATGCTACATTAACATCCGTCACGATGAACATGGTCCAACACAACATACAAACAGGACTACATTAATATAACATGCTACATTAACATCCGTCACGATGAAGATGGTCCAACACAAGATACAAACAGGACTACATTAATATAACATGCTACATTAACATCCGTCACGATGAAGATGGTCCAACACAAGATACAAACAGGACTACATTAATATATCATGCTACATTAACATCCGTCACGATGAAGATGGTCCAACACAACATACAAACAGGACTACATTAATATAACATGCTACATTAACATCCGTCACGATGAACATGGTCCAACACAAGATACAAACAGGACTACATTAATATAACATGCTACATTAACATCCGTCACGATGAACATGGTCCAACACAAGATACAAACAGGACTACATTAATATAACATGCTACATTAACATCCGTCACAATGAACATGGTCCAACACAACATGGTTTAGCTTAATACAGCTTGGACGGGTTGTTTTAGAAATGTCATCTTCGTGTTTACATCTTACAAAAGAAAACAAGTAACAAATTCATCAATATAAAATCTGCTTGTACTTCTGTAAGCCAGGACAAATGTCATTTTTATAGTGCTAGCCCACTGAGATACCATGATGCAGTTTGACATGAATAATCACTCAGACACAGTATACTGACGCCGAGCTGGTCAGCCCTGGTTTTTATCCCCTTAATGTCAAGCTCCAGGCAGGGTAACAACAAGTACCATCTTTTAAAATGTTTTTGCTATGTCTAATTTGCTAAGTCCTGGGCATCAACCCCCGACCTTCCACATCCTGGGCAGCCACCCCATCCACTTGACCACGGTCACAATTCAGCCCCAAGTCTGCTGCAAATGCCAGTAAATATTCCAACACTGGAATTACAAATTTTTCAACTCATGCTCCATAGTAATACCTAATGATATGGCTTTGTAGAGTTGACTTGTGTTTTGTTTGTTCAAACTAGTATTTTGATTGTTTGTCTGCTTGGTGTTTAACGCCACACTAAGCAATATTCCAGCTTTATGACGCTGGTCTGAAAATAATCGACCAGACAATCCCGTGATTGACATCCACGCAATTCGAATACGATGACATGCATCAACCAAGTCAGAGAGCCTGACCACCCGATCCTGTTAGTCGCCTCTTACAACATGCTTAGTCACATTTAACGGCAAGCATGGGTCACTCAATAGTTGTCATCTTCACTGCCAACATATCTAATAGTTGTGAGGTAAACACTATCCTTAGCACTAATGCAGCTGCGCATGTGCAAGGCACAATAACATCACTTCTTTCCTCCAAAAGCCCTCATCATATATTGGGGAGGTGGGAGGGACTAATTCCTGATGTGATAGACTTAGTAATCTTAGAATTATTTCTGATGTTCCCTCTGGGATGTTGCTCGTCACTTCCCGTGGCCTGTCCAATGTTACATTCCATACCAATGTGTAGAAACTTTATATCACCTTGTGCTAGCCAGACGTTAGCCAGCGATCTGCCCATACCTGACGTCAGTAGAAAAAAACTCAAAGGCCAAGTCTCCTTGTGTTGTTGTGGAATCATCAGCCCAACCTTCCCAGAAGAAAAGGGATGGCAGGGTGAGGAAATATGAGAGGTATACCAGGTTACCATCACCTAGGCTCCCACACCAGGTCTGTGTAGAGGTCGTGTTGTGGGGAAGGAAATATGAGAGGTATACTAGGTTAACACCAGCTAGGCTCCCACACCAGGTCTGTGTAGAGGTCTGTGTTCTGCTTAATCTGGGATTTGTCCTGATTGTCCTTGACGTAGAGATGTAGTCTTACTAACTATAGATGGGTAAACCTAATGTCAGGGGTGTTAATCTCAGTAAAAGCCATGGAGCGATTGATATGCTGATTTGGAGAATGTTGATCTGAAACCTCTGCCCGTTGACCGCAAATCATCGAAAGGGATCCGCCTCTGTGGATGCCTCTGCCTCTGCCTCGTGGCGTGAAGTACTGATGGCTCTTGATTAAGGTGGCCTCGGATCATGAAGATCTACCTTTCCCAGCTGGGGAACGTGAGGAGTCACGCCCCAATGTCACCTGTCTTCCCTTGTGAGGATCTCGCTGAACTTCATAATCAGCAGTGAGTTTCTGCATCCTGAAGCATCCGATGGTGGAGTTCTGGAACATCTGGGTGGCAGACGGGGAAATCTCTTCCAGTATGGAGTCCAGTCTGCTGTTGAAGAACTGTCGGGCTGTGCTGGGCTGTGACAGCATTCTCTTCCATAGCAGCTCACGAATATTCGGTAATAGGAATAATCTGCTGTTTGAGATGGTTGTGCTATGTGAGAAGAAACTGGGCACTTGAGATGATTGGAGATCCTCTGGCATCTTGAGGACATGGTCTAAAGGGCTGTGGATGAAACCCAACTGTCTCGGGCTCACGTTGACTCCAAGGTCCAAGGGTTGACATGCATGCTGATCCATGGGGTAGATGACATGTCTGATACCGGCAGCAAACCAAGCCATGTAGCTACTGTTGGTGCTTGTTAACAGCATCAAGGCCCTGGAATGTTGCAATCTCCACTTGCATCATGGGAGACAGCACACTCATAGTGTCATGATAGTCTTAGTCGATGGCGGGATGGGACTTGTCAGCGTTCTTGCTGTTCAGAAGAAGGCTGAATCTATTGCTGGCGTTGGAAGCGTTCAGTGACATAAGCCTCTTAATGATGTTCTCAGTATAGGACAGGAAAGACTGTGTGTTGAACTTCTCTGACTAATTTACTGGTTCTTCATAACCCACACTCTCTATCCATGATTTGGTTGACTTCTCCTCCTTGTTGGTAAGGTGCAATATAATTCTTGTATAATATATTTGACTGTATAAGGTCTTTGAAAAGCATTTAGAATTTATACACATGAGGAAGAGAATTTATGGATGTCAACTTCTTTATTTTGAGTAACACAACTTTTCAGAGTATATGCTTACTCCTTCATCAGGTGAATTTTTTTTTTTTTCTAGTTTCTTTTCTCTCTCTTTTTCATTAACAGGATAGTCAAATACCTGGCACACTAATGAATATAGCCACCAGTGTCAAGTATGACAAAATGGATGAAAATATTTACCTTTTTACTACTAATTTTCACTACTAATTAGTGTTTGGTGTAACAGCCATTAAAGTATACATTTAAGGTATGAATCTATATTTTTTACTTCGTGTGCAACTGTGATTGATACTTGTATCAGGAAGTAAAATATCGCAATCCAACAATGCATCAGTGTATCATCCCAGCACTATTGGGGACACAAAGCAAAGGCTTCACACATTGTACCCACGCTGGGGTTGCAATCAGATCCTGGACGGGCTTACATAACAGCCAAAACGTTCTAACTACACCTTCATCAACACACGAAGATGAATGTGTTTGCTGCCTAAAGTAATTACAACCATATATACACGTTTTGAGAAACGAACACTGGAGTAACTGGATGGGAAAGACCAAACATTTGTCCAGTCAGTTGCTAAGTAGTCTGATATACATTGATAATGTAAATAAAAGTCCACTTCCTTGTGTGTGTGTGTGTGTGTGTGTGTGTGTGTTTTTGTGTGTGTGTGTGCCTCTAAATAATCAAATCTGGACAAGACAATACACGGGTTATGGCTGGTTGGTTGGTATGTTGTTTAATGCCGCACTCAGCAATATTCCAGCTATATGACGGCGGTCTGTAAAATAATCGAGTCTGGACCAGACAATCCAGTGATTAATATCATGAGCATCGATCCATGCAATTGGGACCGATGACATGTATAAACCAAGTCAGCGAGCCTGACCACCCGATCCCGTTAGTCGCCTTTTACGACAAGCATAGTCGCCTTTTTACGGCAAACATGGGTTGCTGAAGACCTATTTTACCCCAGATCTTCACTGGTCTCATGGGTTATGAGCAATGACCCATGCTGTTGGTGTACAATGACACGCTGTCAACCAAGTGACCGAGTCTGACCGCCTGCTCACCACAAACAGCTGCAAGATGCTGATGTCGAGTATGCAACAATCTTTCACTCACTGACCACCAGATCCATTAACTGACCACTGATGACCACAGGTGGCAGGGGACCTATTCTCACCACTGATGACTACAGATGGCAGGGGACCTATTCTCACCACTGATGATCACAGGTGGCAGGGGACCTATTCTCACCACTGATGACCACAGGTGGCAGGGGACCTATTCTCACCACTGATGATCACAGGTGGCAGGGGACCTATTCTCACCGCTGATGATCACAGATGGCAGGGGACCTATTCTCACCACTGATGATCACAGGTGGCAGGGGACCTATTCTCACCACTGATGATCACAGGTGGCAGGGGACCTATTCTCACCGCTGATGATCACAGGTGGCAGGGGACCTATTCTCACCACTGATGATCACGGGTGGCAGGGGACCTATTCTCACCGCTGATGATCACAGGTGGCAGGGGACCTATTCTCACCACTGATGACCACAGGTGGCAGGGGACCTATTCTCACCACTGATGACCACAGGTGGCAGGGGACCTATTCTCACCACTGATGACCACAGGTGGCAGGGGACCTATTCTCACCACTGATGATCACAGGTGGCAGGGGACCTATTCTCACCGCTGATGATCACTGATGACCACAGGTGGCAGGGGACCTATTCTCACCGCTGATGATCACAGGTGGCAGGGGACCTATTCTCACCGCTGATGATCACAGATGGCAGGGGACCTATTCTCACCGCTGATGACCACAGGTGGCAGGGGACCTATTCTCACCACTGATGATCACAGGTGGCAGGGGACCTATTCTCACCACTGATGATCACAGGTGGCAGGGGACCTATTCTTACCACTGATGACCACAGATGGCAGGGGACCTATTCTCACCACTGATGATCACAGGTGGCAGGGGACCTATTCTCACCACTGATGATCACAGGTGGCAGGGGACCTATTCTCACCACTGATGATCACAGGTGGCAGGGGACCTATTCTCACCACTGATGATCACAGGTGGCAGGGGACCTATTCTCACCACTGATGACCACAGGTGGCAGGGGACCTATTCTCACCACTGATGACCACAGGTGGCAGGGGACCTATTCTCACCACTGATGATCACAGGTGGCAGGGGACCTATTCTCACCACTGATGATCACAGGTGGCAGGGGACCTATTCTCACCACTGATGACCACAGGTGGCAGGGGACCTATTCTCACCACTGATGACCACAGGTGGCAGGGGACATGATAACCACAGGTGGCAGGGGACCTTTTCTCACCACTGACCACAGATGGCAGGGGACCTATTCTCACCACTGATGATCACAGGTGGCAGGGGACATATTCTCACCACTGATGATCACAGGTGGCAGGGGACCTATTCTCACCACTGATGACCACAGGTGGCAGGGGACCTGATAACCACAGGTGGCAGGGGACCTATTCTCACCACTGACCACAGATGGCAGGGGACCTATTCTCACCACTGATGATCACAGGTGGCAGGGGACCTATTCTCACCGCTGATGATCACAGGTGGCAGGGGACATATTCTCACCACTGATGATCACAGGTGGCAGGGGACCTGATGACCACAGGTGGCAGGGGACCTATTCTCACCACTGACCACAGATGGCAGGGGACCTATTCTCACCACTAGAAACTGACTAGTTCACAAGAAACATTACTCCTTCAAGTACTTTCTGGATTAAAGGATCATTTCACCCACAGAAAACCAAAGAATTTTAATAATCTTTGGACATGAATCAACTGAATCAAAGAGGTCGTGACAGCATACGGAGTGCCAAAAACGATGCACATACAGCAACTTCAGGTCACTATTCCGAAGCCAAAATCTAGGACTTCTTTTGATGAAGTAAGCATAGCTGAAGACAGCCCATGTGTAAAGACTCCATCTACTGAAAAGGGTGTTTGGGCCAGCAGACTCCCAGTCTGTGGCACAACTGATGTTCTGACAAAAAGCTTTCACTTTTATCATTTCCAAAGACAAAAGTGAAGAACAGCAACAATGAGTGACGGCCACTGGCATCATGTACATTTGGCTGAGATGACTGACACACCACTGACAAATATTTCTGGTCGCTTACCTTCACTTGACTGTCTACAGCCCCAGAGAACACCCTTCCCTTGGAGATGGCTAGACAGGCCACACTGCCCTGGTGTCTGACCAGTGTCTGAGTACAGATCATGTTCTCCATACTCCATACCTGAAACACAGAACACAAGAAGTGACATGACAATACACACTGCCCTGGTGTCTGACTAGTGTCTGAGTACAGATCATGTACTCCATGCCTGAAACACAGAACACAAGAAGTGACACGACAATACACACTGCCCTGGTGTCTGACTAGTGTCTGAGTACAGATCATGTTCTCCATACTCCATACCTGAAACACAGAACACAAGAAGTGACACGACAATACACACTGCCCTGGTGTCTGACTAGTGTCTGAGTACAGATCATGTTCTCCATACTCCATACCTGAAACACAGAACATATATGCTATGCAACACAATTACAGATTCCCTGTTATGATTGGATGTATGTAAAACGTTTAAAAAATGTGTTAGTAAAAATATTTCTCAAGTGAAAATGGACAAGAAGACAGTTGAGAAAAAAATACACAAAGACAGTAGTTGTCATGAAAGGAATGTTTGCAAGCTGATCACACCATTTTCCAAGAGAACAAATTGAAGATGCAAGCTCATTTCAAAACTTTCTTCTATGGGTGGAGCCAATCAACTTGCAGTAACTCTAATCCTTACAAGGTAGGTAGTCTGAGGCTTAGTCTCTGAAAATATATAATTTCGGTCCAGGTTCTAACACTTGCACTTACTTGAAAACGGGTTAATTCTTTATTTCAGTATAAAGGCCATAGGCCCACGTACAAATACTCATTGAAAAATACAGTATGAGGCAGATGACAGAGGGTGTTAAGTGACAGTATTTCGGATTGCAAGTGCTTCCAGTATATACTTAACACAATTAGTTACAATACTAGTGCGGTTACAAGATAATAGTGTAATATATTTAAATAAAGTAGGATTGGAAGAGTAATAAATAGGTAAATACTTATTTCTTAAATATTTGTAACATGGGCAGACAAGCATAAAATGAAACTCATCTTCAATTTCCTGTAAATTACAAAATCTGCACTGCCTATTACAGTACTCTATACCGCATCTTCTACCTAAATTTACCATCAATGGCAACTCGCCAACTCTTAACAAACAAAACATACGTCTATAATGACGGCTTGTGATTTCACAGAGATACTTTTCAACTGTTAGCAATGACTTATATTCCTTATACATTGATAATTTACGTCCTGTTGGTTAGTCTTTTAGCGTTTGAATAAATGCATTAATAAAGAGGGTCTCATTACCAACTTCCTGCGAAATCCACACGTGGCCAAATCCATAACTGCATAATAATCTTTTGACACAAGTTGCCCATGTATTGCGATTTAACTTCATCTAAAAATTTCAGTATTAAATAACATTGCTTAGGGTATCTATAACTGGGTAAAGATAACAATTTCAACCAATATTTAATACATCTCTTGTGATAATCAATAAATAATCCATATCTACCACATTCGCCACGGTCAGCAACATTTGTAACATGACTTCAAGCGGGTTAGAACCTACACGGAAACATCGCTCCTAATAGTAATAAAGAAGTTGTTCATCCATATAAATCTTTTCCTTACTTATCAAACTAATTTGTTTGATATTTTAAGAAAGTGAAGGATTTCCTGTGTGAGGTTAAGCTGTGAGAACAACTAAGATCACTGCAATTAGTTTCTTGATTTAGAGAGGGAATTTTCTCCAAAAGATTAACTTCACTGTCAATTTTTCAGTCAACATTAAAAAAAAGGGCTTATCCCTGATTTGGAACCAGAGGCAGTACAACCAGAAGGACTGTAATTCTTGGTCTTTACATCTTCAATATCAGGGCATTGTGGAAATAACTAACTTATGTCAATCCTCCATTATTCTTTGTCAGCTACAACAAACAGGTAAGCACTGTATGCTAGATATACCAATCACCGACATGTGCTTCACTATCATAGTCCTATGCCTTTAACTATCCCCTACAGTCAACTGGAGTGACAGGTGAGGTGAGGTGAATTTGGGTATAACGTCGCGTCCAAGATTATTGCACTTATATAGCGACATGTGTGTGGCTGCTTGTACTAGTCCGGACTCAGATGCCGATTCATAGTGCTAGCTTACTGAGATACCATGCCACAGTTTAACATGAATACCCCACTCAGACACAGTATACTGACTCCGAGCCGACCAGTCCTTGTTTTAGTCCCTTAATGCCGAGCGCCAGACAGGGTAACAACAAGTACCATCTTTTAACGTCTTTTGGTATGACGTGGCCGGGTATTGAACCCCAGACCTTCCACTCTCCGAGCAGACGCTCTACCACTAGACCACAGAGGCAGTCGCCATGATAAGCCACACACGCGGTCTCCTGTCTATCACTGTATTGCAGTTCTTGGACAAATCAGATTAAAATTGGATTAATCACGGGAACAAGGACATCATTGTAAAGCCAAGTATACATCTATTATTGTTTTCCACGTTTGCAAAAGATGAAAATAAGAAATTAATTTCCTATAAAACTATCCAAATAGCTATCTGTCATGGTAACCTCAAATCCTAGCTTATTGGTTTGAAAAATTGTATAAAAAATGTAATCATCAGAAACACACAGGCAAAATGGCTGTCTACCAGGGTCAGCCCTGTTGCATTGACTACTGTAATGTACCTAATGCAAGCACAACCCAAAGGGAGGTTGGGGCGCGGTGGGGTAGCCTAGGGGTTAAAGTGTTTGCTCTTCACGCCGAAGACCCGGGTTCGACTCCCCCCATGGACACAATGTGTGAAGCCCATTTCTGGTGTCCCCCACCGTGATATTGCTGGAATATTGCTAAAAGCGGCGTAAAACCATACTCGCTCAGAAACTGAGGGTAAAATCTGAGTGACCCTTGTTCTGATGGATGAAGAGATGAATTTATATCTGATCACTTTTCACGGACATCAGTGTCAGGTTTGTGTCACACATAGAAGCAAAGGCATTTATCACACAACAACAAAATCCAATAAACAATGTAATGTAGCCAGGTTCTCATACTTTTTTTAGGTAGAGTCCTGTCCGGGATTCGAATCCCAACTTCCAGAGTGATCAGGTAATCGCCAGGACACAAAGTCAGTGATCTAACCCACTCAGCCACCGAGGCTTCCACTAAGAAATGCCTACCATACTATTCAGTTTAGTAGTGAATACATATCCATGCAGTCTTGACATTGTGTCAAGCAGACACCCTTTACAAGAAGCGACAATAATTATACCGGTACTATAAGCCAAAGTCCTTCAAAGTATCAATATATGTCACACTGCTTACATTCGAAAGACCCCCATGAAGGTCTTCAGCAACCAATGCTTGTTGTAAGAGGCGACTAACAGGATCGGGTTATCATGCTCGCTGACTTGGTTGATGCAGGTCATCATATCCCAATAATGTAGATCGATGCTCATGATGTCAATCACTTTATTGACTTGATTATTTATCTTTCTTTGAAATGTTAGTGTTTGGGCCCCTATGTTGCTGTCTAAGAGTCCGGAGTTTTTTTTTAAGATTTGGGCTTGAAGTATTGCATTAACTGACAAAGAAAATAATTCTTGTCACATATCTTAATCAATGAAATATCAAATAAATTAGAAGTATCTATGACGTTGAATATCATATTGCACGTAGAAATAACGACTTCTCTGCCTTTAATAGAAAATGGGCTTTGTTTACTCAAACTGCAAAATAACTTATTCACTTGATGTTTGCAACATAATTTGATGTACCATAAATACCGCATCTTCTTAATTGTATACATAAATATGCCTTCATCTGTACCATGATGTGGATTATGCCCTAGGCCTCCTCTGTACCATATCCTTTTGAGAAGTACCTGTATTCATAAAGCTGTATTGCTTTTCGAGTGCATATGTATCCTGTGTATAGACTGAATAAAAATCTAAAAAAAAAAAAATATCAAATAAATTTGTATGTTTTTTCATTTGGTTAATGGTGACAAATAAAGTGACAATTGCTACACCAGAATACAGTGTCACCTTAAATGGGGGATTTCGCGTAAACAGGCATAAACTTTTCAACCCTGGCTTCAAAACAACTTGAATCAATCAAATTAAATGTAATAACTACACCCATGGGTGATAATCCCTCCAGTCTGCTAATTACTTGACAACTAATGACACATCTCCGTGACATCATGAACTTGTCCTGACAATGACCACCCCTCCTCCTGTCAATCAAAGTCCTCATCTACCGTCTCCCTGATAACTAACAACACACAATACCAACCACAGTCAGCAATACATGATCAATAATACAAACCCGCCCACCTCCGCCAATCCATGACTTTCTAACTACTATGTACCTGACAACTACTAATACATGTAACATCAAACCTGAGATGATCACTGCAATGAACCCTCCCCCCCCCCCCCCTATTGCCAATCAATGAACGGCGCTACCGTATACCTGACCACTGATAACACTTCAACTGGCTTGAAACAGCGTGTCTGTGGTCATGTGTTCCTGGGGGTATTTAAGGGCTCTGTGGAGGGTCGGAAAGGAGAGCGAGGGTCAGGACACGACGGACAGGTTGACATATCCGGAAAGGAAGGAAAAGGACCGTTGGAATTCCGGATATGATGAGGATATCTTCGCTTCAACTGTCACTAATTGTTCTCGTGTGTATTATTGTGTCTTTGCATGGTAAGTACAAGCTTTGTAACCTTCATGATCAATACTGTCAATAGAAAGGCAAAAATACAAAAAGAAATGTGAAAGAAAGATGTTGTAAAAAGATTTTAGAACACATGAGGATTACTTAATCAGAAGTTCAAATAACTATGAGCAGTCTTAAATCTATAGTTTTCAGAATCACTTTCAAGCTGTCCTTAGTCATTAAGAAGCATGTATCTATTGTCAAATTCTAACAGGCAAATGACACTGCAAAACCTAACTAGAACTCCCACAAAAATGATTTTACTTATCATTCAGCAAGTGGTACAATCCGAGTGTAACCAGTCTCCACCATGGGGTTGAGCTACCTTAAACTGATACCTTGGTCAACTTTTAGAACATAATTTACATGAAAAGCAAGCTTC